AATCAACTCTTAATTCATTCCTATCTGCCTGTGCGAAAATTAGTATGTTTCAGCTAACTTTTCTTCGTACATAAATATCTCATTTTATTTTCTTTATTATTTTATATTAATCTATTTTTTTATTTTATTTTTTTTTTTTTTTTTAATTTAAATTATTTTAAATTTTATTACATTCATTTATTTTATTTTGATTTTATTTCATTTTATTTTACTTACTTTTTTAAATTTAATTTAGTTTAATGCATTTAATTAATTTTATTTTATTTTGCTTTAATTTATTTAATTATTTTTTTACTGTCTCAATTTTTTATATTTATTTATATCTCTTTATTTTTATTATTATATTTAATTTTTTTAATTTTACTTTATATTTTCATATTTTATAATAATTTTTTTTTTTTTTTTTTTTTTTTTTTTTTTTTTTTTTTTTTTTTTTTTTTTTTTTTTTTTTTGCTAATTTATTTTTTTTTTTATTTTATATTTTTTATTTAATTTTATTTTATTTTATTTTAAGTTAATAAATTTAATTTTATTATAATTTATTTTTTTTTTATTTATTAATTTAATTTTTTTAGTTTTTTCAAATTTAATTTAATTTAATTTATTTTTTTAGTTTAGCTTAATTCATTTATTTTAATTTAATATAATTTTATTTTATTTTATTTCACTCTATTTTATTTTACTTTATTTTATTTTATTTTATTTATTTTTTATTTGATTTTATTTTACTTTTTTAATTTTTTATTTTGTTTTTTTTTTTTTTCCTTTCATATTATTTATTTTGTATTTAGTACTTCCTTACCAGTATTTTCCCTCATTTTATTAATTTTCTTTTCTTAAATTGTTTTGTATATTTTTAGCACGAGCAAATGGTGGGTGTGCCAAGAAGTACCGCTGACGATAGCAATGAAGTAGAAAGGAAGGGCACATGTGACCAATGACATCACAGCGAAAACACTGTCTGGGTGGTAGGTAGCATCGGAACGAGCGTCAGCGAGCCAAGTTTTTGTATTTGCGTGGCAAAGCAAAAAATAAAAGTGAACTGTGAGTATGACAAAGAATAAAACAAAAGAAATAAAAAAATCTTGCGCTCATAGAATTTTTGCTTGCAGGCACTGTTTTCATACAAATAGTATGTTTTGTACAAAAGCAAACATGAATGGGAAGAGAGGTAAAACAATTGGCAAAAGTTTTATTCTCTTCATTTCTGCACTTTTCAATTCATTTTATTTAATTTTATTTGCTTCAATTTCAATCAGTTTTAGCTTTTGTCGCATTTACCTTAAAATCAATTACGCTTATTTACCACAAATAAAATTAAGCGCGACGTTTACTTATATAAATGGCACGACTTTATCGCCATTCGGTTTATGTTTGTTTATTTTGCTTTTTCTTTGATTATTTTTAGCTCGTTGGATTAACAATTATGCTTGCCTTTTTCGCGTTGGGGTACCAATTTACTTAATTCGGAAAAGTTTATCATATTTTAAAATTCGCACACGACGAAATGCTATTTGTTTACACATTTTTTTCACTATTTAATTTTCTCCAATTTGTTTAACTTTAATTTGTATTAATTTATTTTATTTTAATAAATTTTTTTCATATTAGTTGACTTTATTTTATTTTACTTTGTTTTTTATTTTATTTTATTTTATTTTATTTTATTTTATTTTATTTTATTTTATTTTATTTTATTTTATGTTATTTTATTTTATTTTATTTGTTGTTTTATTCATTATTTTATTTATACTTAGACTTTAAGTAAAAGCTTCAATATTGAAATATTTTCGTAGTTACATACAAATGTATATGTACGTAGGATAGCGCCAGATAAGCAACCGCTACCAGAACAACGGCTGTAAAGCAGAATGCACCGGTTAAATAAAGCCTTGGCATTAAAAAATAAACCAAGCAAATTATATTTTGAACTTAAGTTCACCTCACATATAAACGCATACATACGAGTACATACATATTTATGTATGTTTAGTAATAATAACCAATATTTTATTTCACTTGAGGTAGAATCTATGAATCAATTAGCGAATCCACAACTGTCGATAACACATTTTATGAAATTCCATAGCAGATTTGAATGTGTATTTGGTGATAATAATATCAGTTGGTCACATCGACTTAGTCAGTCTATGATTTATATAAGCAAGTGCATATACACGTAACCATACATACGAGTGCCTCCGAGGTTAGTCCCGTGGAAAATGAAACTGCTCAGTAGAACAGATCTTCAGTAATATGAGATTACATCAGATTAAGATATTTCATTGCATTTGGATCAATACAAGGCAACTTTGCGCGCCAAAAGTGACAGTGATATGTATGGTACGTGGCGCATAAGTAATTTTTATGTGGGCCCATTTCTTATGGAAAATACATAGTAAAGGGTGATTTTTTTGGTTATTATCTTTTTGGCAACACTGGTTTGAACAGCTGACGCACATTTCGTGTTTTGTATCACTGTCAAACATCTTCAGTTTGGTTTGAAATTTAATCATGAATCGTTTTACGAACGAACAACGCTTGCAAACTATTGAATTTTATTATCAAAATGCCTGCTCTGTTAAGAAAATGCAAAAAAAAAAAATTTTTTTTAGTGCGTAAATAAGCAGAATTGTCGATTTTGTAGTGAAGATCAGCCAGAAGCATTGTAAGAGCTACCAATGCATACAGAAAAAGTCACATTATGGTGCGGTTTATGGGCTGGTGGCATCATTGGACCGTACTTCTTCAAAATTAATGCAAATTGTAACGTGACTGTGAATGGTGAGCGCTACCCTGAGATGATATCAAACTTTTTTTGCCCAAAATGGTCAAGCTAGACCTTTATAGCATGCGGTTTCAACAAGACAGTGCCACATGCCACACAGCACGCATAAAAATGGACTCATTGATATGAGAATTCGGTGAACATTTTATTTCATGTTCGGGGCCGGACAATTGGTCGCCTAGATCGTGCGATTTAACGTCTTTAGACTATTTTTTGTGAGGCTATGTTAAATCTAACCTCTATGCAGATAAGCACGCTTCAATTGACGCATTGGAGGACAATATTGAAGCATTTATTCGTGAGATCCGGCCGAAATGTTAGAAAGAGTATGCCAAAATTGGACTAGGCGGATGGACCATTTGAGGCGCAGTCACGGTCAACATTTGCATGAAATAATCTTCAAACATTAAATTATATTGACCGCACTAACGATTCAAATAAAGGTTTCATGCATTTTTCTGAATTTTATGTGTTTTTTTTAACTTTCCTATAGCTCTTAAAATATCACCCTTTATGTAGCATACACAAAAACTCTGTTCTTCAGATATACTCGTATGTATTTCATTAGTATTAAAAGTGTAGCGTCAACGAAACGCTATAAATCTTCAATAACAATAATTTATAATATTCCCTTTTTATGGTTGATAGAGAATGTGAGGCTTTTGTTGTTTTAAGTGTAGCGATAAGCGAGTAAAATGAATGTAGCATGATCATTTGTACTTTGTTGCTTGGAAATAAAAATGTTGAATGTAGATACATATTTATGTAGATATGTATGCAGTAAGATTGTACACACTTTTGTATTAAAACAGATATTCAAAGCAAACTCATATTAATTATTTATTATGCACTTGCTAAAACACTTTTGCTGCAATTTTCTACACTTGTTCATATGTACATACACAACTATGTATGAGTATGTGAAAGTTATGTAAACAAATTAACCACAATGCAAAATAAATAAACACTCAGTGATGAATGAATTTATAAGACAATGTATGCACATATATACAAATATATATATTTGTATATATATATATATATATATATAATATTTACTTCAAATACACATCATTTTGGTTACCTTAATTTTTTGCAAAATTCTAGAATCACTTGTCCAATTGGAAAATTCAATTCAAATCGTTTTTGAGCGTTAATTGTGAACCAATAATAATAATAATCTGTTTGTCAGTAGCCGGTAAACGGTAAAGGCGTTCGCCATTCGCCGGTTATGTGCGTATACATACATAGTTATATATTGTATAAACGTTTGTATGTAGATATGAATGCGAGAGGTTGACTTCCTCTGCTATCAAAGAGGCGACAGCGAACATATATAATGTCGGAAATTAATGGGAGGAGATTTTCAAAGAAAAAACAAGTAAAAAGTAAAAGGAATATAAAAATGTAAATAAATTTAGGTTCTAGTGCTGATTAAAACGTGAAAAAAAAAAATAAAATAGACCGTCTATAAGCAATATATTGTATGTAGGTATGTACTATGTACATATATTTGCGAAAAACACTGTCACTCTAATTATCATATGTTTCATATTTATTAATATTTTTCACTCATATTCATTGTATTATTTGGTGCTCTTTTTTAATCGCTTTTGTTCTATTGGTGATAATTAAACACCAGCCCCTCAATTGGCGTTGAACGAGATAATCCGAACGTTGTTAAATAACACTAATTAAATGGCGTATATATGTACATACATATATGTATTTATTAAATACATAAATTTTCACATATACTTTTGCATATGCATGCCATGTTCATATGTATTGTTTTCTTACTTTAACTGAACTCGCTTTGGCAAATTTTGTATGCATATAAATGTTGATAAGCAGCAACTATTTCTTCAAGCGCACGTAAATATATTTTTTTCACATTTCTACTAACACTTAGGTATTTAATGATTTTCCACCGTCCAACTGGCAACGATTGATTGTAGCATCAATAGCTCACTGGTCGACCTAGCGGAGCGACTGATGGCCACAAGCAGGTCAGCCAAACACACACATATTAGGTATGCACATACATGCTGCTACATACATAAATTTGTATGTATGTACATCATTTTCAATGCGCAGCCTCAACCAAAGCTTCAGCCTCTTTTTCGCCTATCGCCAATGGTATATTGGCATCTTTAATACTTTTTTATTAATTTTATTTTTAATTTTTTTGCATTTTCTTTACAATAATCACCTTCTTTACTATATCACATTCGTAGCAGTGCACTAGTTGCGTTTATTTTGTTTCATATAGCAAACCTTTGGCTGAGCATAATGTTTTGTTTACGCTAAATTTCGTTAATAATTTGAAAAAAAAAAATTGTAAACTTTTTCGTTTCAACACACACGCACACAATAACACATAAATATTTATACGAATGTGATGGAAAAAGTAGTATTCTGATAGCAATCAACTGGCGAAACGTCAAAGGAAAACTGTTCATTAGCTATTTTGATTGCGCTTTACGTCCATTGTGAATGATACATATTTACTTTACTGTTTAGCTCACTTCCTGTTGTCCGTTTTCTCTGCCGGCAGAGAACTTCGAGTTATTATACATTCTCTGAAACCGTCTGAAACCGGCAGAGCATCTAAATGTTGTATTTACGTTCTCTGCTGCCGACAGAGAATGTATAATTACTATAAGCTCTCTGCTGCCGACAGGATAATTCACAATTATCGAATAACATTATTTATTTATACTAAATTTTATAATCTATTTTCCTTCATAAAATAAATTCAATTGAGAGGAACATAAAGATTATGAAATTTTGTTGTTGTACTAAATAATGAAAAAATCCAATCAGATACATTTTCAAAACAGTTTTGGAATGTATTCAGTTGTTTAATTTAATTTTTTAATATGAAAATATATTAAAAACGTGTGTAGCTTAGAAGTTTGGATACAAATACAAAATTAGAAAAACCGAAATGCCATGTAGGTTAGGTAGTAAAGTATTCGCCTGTGATAAGGCATGCCTGTGGTTTCTGAGTGAATAACATTGCAGTCACGCGAAAGGTCGTTCGTTCGAATCTGAGCCGAATCATCATTAGAAATTTGAAAGAAAAGAATGAGTTTCGGCCGTACCTCGGCAAGCAATGTCAACCGCTTCGAGTGTACATACATATGTGCAATGCATGGCATAAATTAAAAACGCTCTCTATAGAAATTCATCAGCCCTTCGGAGATTGCTTAGAATCAGATGTAAGACCTTCGTATGTTGGTAAAACATCAAGACCAACAAAATAAAAAAGAGGAAGAGCTTCAGCGATTATAAGGCACCAAATATGCGAATGTATAATATGGTATACAACTAATTTAACCTCTCCCAGGGCTTATGATGTTTCCGCAACTCGCAGTTAAACTCTTAAGATATTTCTTAGTTTCTAATAACAAAATAGCTGCTCATCAGGACCCAATATATTCATACATCTGATAAAAAATTCCTGCTCTTTTAAAACATTTTATATGTAAAATAAATTAACTAAAAGTAATACAGTATATAAATTCTTTTTATTTATTTTCCTTGTTTTTTACTACTTTTTAATTTACTAATATAAAGTAAGAGTATATGCGTCTTTATCTGAACGTTTAAATGCCTGATAAATCTATAAATGTATTATTTTCCATACAAAAATGGTTTACTAGGTTGCAGATTTATCAGAAACTTTTCCGAGTTCACATGAACACGCACAGGAATTTTGTTTTTACAATTAAATTATAAAAATATTGCGGCACAAAAAGTGCTGAAGAACACAGAAATTTACTTATTTGGTGCATAGCACCTTTATATATATATATATATGTAAAGTTGAGTTGGAAGTTAGGTTCTATGGTATCATAAATACATATATCCTTGATATATACAAATGTATATTAAACAAATGATTTGTTTTTATTAAAACAAAAGATACAAAATGTTTATGCTTATACTATTTCCTCTAAATTCTATGATAACAGTTTTTTCTTGTCTTCGGCAAGATCACCTTCAGATTTTTTTGCTGCTGCAGCCTTCTTGTCATTTCCCTTTCCGTAGAACATATCAAAAAATAGTGCGGCGAATACTAATATTGCACCAAACCATTGCCTTGGTATTAACACATTACCGAAGAGCACCACCGAACATAGTACGGTAAAGAATTTACGTGTTGTCGTCACAACAGAGCATGCAAGCGGTCCAAATTTAGCTACCATCAAGAAAATAAATAGTTGACCCAAAGCACCGCACAATGCAAGCATAGCTAGATGGCCCCACAACTCAGGATGACGTGTAGCAAAGTGTAAAAATTCTTTTGCTTCACCTGTAATGAATTTTTAAATAATATTAAAAAATAGTTCTGAAATAGAAGTGTATTGTTGAAAATTGCCTGATAGCACTGTAGCAAAGCTGAGAATAATAGTACTCCAAAGGTTCATAGCCAACATCATTTGTTGTCCTGTTGGTGCGCTAGAAGCACGCATTCTTTCCTGCACTGCACCAGTCAAACCATCCATTGCTAAACTCAGGAAAAGCAGTAGTTCTCCCAAGCCAGTAGTTTCTTTCGGTAAATGAGCAATTTGACTTTCTTTATACATGAATAACACCACACCGATAACTATTGTTGTAACACAAGCATAACGTACCCAAGTATATGACTTTCGGCCGATAAGTACGCCTAATATCATGACTGGAATTGGTTTAGCTGATTTACCAACCACCTGTGTAGGGTATGGCACCCAACGCAATGCCATATTGGAAGCTATCATAGCCAATAAGTAGGTGAGCGCGCAGACGGCATAATAGCCCGTATGTGTTTGGTCCTCCTTTTTTGCCTTTTTAGCCCACAGCATACCTGTGAAACGAAATATTTTATTTATTTTATGTTTACAAGCAATTTTCACTAATCTTTCTACCTTTAGCAAATACGAAATTACAAAAACACTGCACCCATACTAAAGCGAGCACATAAGTAAAACGTTCGCCCACTTTGCCGTCTTCATTGGGTTCATCACCATATCGTCCCCTTGTAATTTTTTCCTGCACAATCCCAAACAAGAAGTAGCAAAAGAAAATGCTCAAAGAGTACACAAGAAATCGGCTGTTTTCTGGTATTTTCATTGTCGTTTATGTTTGCTGTTCACTTTCTTATTTCTGCTTTTAAAGAGCCAAAAAAGATTGTTATATTTATGCGGCGTTACAAATTAAAAACTTTTTCATTACAATGCACACGTCAGTAGTTTTTCGAAATGGATTTTCTTGCGGCACTCGGTAAACGACGCTACGTCAGTTTATTTCGATGTCAAAATCAGCTGCGAAGTTATTGATTCTTCTGCCGTTGCCATACTGCCGAGAAATGTGGCCTGCCTGATTTCCGTACTTACTTAACATAAACGATACAATGAAAACTTGATGCTGCGATATATTAAAAAATAAAAATTAACGGCAAAATTGTCATTGTGTTCATCAGAATTTCTACGCTACACAACAAATTATACATATTTAATGATCTTCCAATACTAATTGGCCTGTAAATTTTTTTTAAATGAGTAAGTTGCAGTACTCAATATTTTAATTTTGGATTGCTAAATAAAATTTCCAAGACATGTCTTTCCAGCTTTTTTATTGTAAGTACACAGTTTACCCCGCTTCACCTTACTAAACTTAACAGCAGTGCACGGACTCCTCTTATGTAGCTACGGATTGATCTGATGCATCTTCTAGAAGATTCTGTTCAAATGTTCTTTGTAACAAATATTCGATATATGTTTTATTTAGCGGTCTGTCTTTCTCAACTCACTCTCAACTTAATTTACAACGCCAATTCTATCCTTTTTTCTCTTAACAGTAGTACCAACGAGTTCACTTTACAACTAACTGCTGCAGTATTGGCCGTCAATCGTATATACCAACAGATTGTTCTTACAAAAGCCTAGAAAACTCTTTACGAAATATCCTCTTTATCACGTGCGTAGTTATCGGTACCTCTCTTTCGGCTGTCATTCGTATTTTGGATTTCCCCTACAATATCTAGATAACGGGGTCATATGTAAGACATATGCATAGAAAAAGTGCATATATTAATCGCGAAGAGATGGTCGCAGTCCTGAGGACGGTGTTTTGGCAAGCCTGTAGCTTCTTCAGTGTGACTCCCAATATCTTTGGGTTGTTTATAGTTGGAATTTTTACGTCTTCAATTTTCACATCTAATTCAAGCCTTGACTCCTTCATCCAGCTGGTGAAGAGGGTAGCCGAGTATTTATTTGGCCGCAGTTTTAACTGTCGTGCATGGACGTGTCTGCTAGTCCGCAATTAACATCAGATCGTCGAAGACCTCATGCTTGTTAGGTCTCCTGAGGGACTTAGGACTGAGAGATGTAATGTGATATAAATTAATAATTAATGGACACAATAGAACAATGATCCAAAATATATTTCTATCAATCCAACCCACCGCTTGACTCAGAGCTCAACTCCTCTTCGCCACTATGCCTGAAGTTGTACGGCTGTGTAAACTGATACCAACTGACTGAAGCGAGAACTTTCCGAGCCGCTCGATGCCAAACGAAGTTTCCCACAAGGTGTCTCTTTGTCGTATGGCTTCTTTATTTCAATACTAGAGAAAATAATGAATGAGTTGCTGTTCTATCCCGATGATATTGACAACATTGGTCCCAACATCAGCATCGTTAGTTTTGCTTTCTACACACTGCCTAAGAAAGGGTCTGGTAGTTAACGAGGACAAGATGTCATCAAATAAACAGTCAACGAAACTCTACTTTCGCGACTCTGTCATGTAAGTTCCTCATTATTCACTGATTTGTGATGTAGATGCGATATCGGCGATGTTGATATCCTTCAAGAAAAATACCGCAGCGAATTAACTGGCTAATCATTTACCAACGACTAATTTACCATAAAACGCCAAAATATCCTGAGAATTGTCGTACATTAGGAAAGCGATGATAACTTGCAGCGGCTCAGCAACACCAACAATCTACGTTAACAGAGGAATTCCTCAACGGGATGTTTTGTTCCCGCTTCTATTGTCAGTGTAAAAATCAAATGCCAATAGAAACATTCATATGGAATGAGCCTTTTGGAACCAAAAAGGATTTGGACAAAGCTTCATACTAGATCAACACACAATACCTTTAAGAAAGTCAGACCATATACTCCCACGACTAGACTTAGAATAGTTGCTTCAAGGTAAGGATTCTCTTCACACGTGAATGGAGAATAGGTTTTGTCGGAGAGAAAAATACCACCTCTGTCGACATCAAAGGCTCTAAAATGGAGTGCGATGTGAGTTCCATGAGAAAACACCTCTCCGCTAACTCTCCCCTCAAGCTTTGATCAGTTGATGTATGTATATTTTTTTGCTATCAATTGGAGTGAGGTAATTATTTTTATTCTCTGCTGTGGTTTCGTGTTCTGAAGAAATTTTCAATGAATGGAATTGGATCACATCGATCTAACTTGGTATTACCGAGTGCCCCATGGCTGAGTGGTCCATTGATTTGACTCTCTTTAACGAAGTGCGGCTATTGCTGATGACTGATATAACATCAAGCCCAGTGGCGGGATGTTGAGTATTGCATTAAGAACCTCACTTGCCGTGTTCCTCAGTGTACCACTGATACAAATTAACAGTCTTCTTTGAATTTTACTTGTGACATAAGCATTTGAAGCTCTGTAAAGGAGCTTTGATCTTACTACTGGCTGCTAGGTTTGCAGTGGTTATATTCCGACTTTTTTTACGTAAAAAATACTGTGTCTATTTAAGGGTACTGGAGTGTGCATTTATATATATTAGGTGTAGTAAAAAGTAATCCATTATTTTTGCTTAAAAGTGAAGGTTTCAATTTTTTACTTTTCGTATCCTGCCTTATTCAAATAGTTCCAAACGGTTTTTTTTTTTGTGCAATCGAAACAGTGCTTACATGACAGCCGGACTCGACGATGTCAATGCTTTTATCGACATATTCGACAATTGGCTTTCCACTCCGTGAAGCTTCTTTTACATCAAAACTACCGACATGAAATTGAAATTGGTCATGATTGACTGTAACAGTATCAGAACCGCCTTGATTGGCCTGCCTTTCCGCCCTTCTCGAAGAAAAGCTGTAAAAATATCGCGTATTTTTTCTTTGCCAGTGCCCATCTTTGAAGCACCCTAAAACCAAACAGAATCAAGAAATCATAAAACTGTCAGAGAAGCTTTTTTTGTACGAAATGTCATCTTTCTAAAGCCATCTAGTGGTAGCCGATCGGACTTTTTCAACGCGAGATACAGACGAATAACACCATCTATTGGAAATATAATGGATTACTTTTTACTACAGCTAATATATACATATGTATATACAAAAATGCATATTTCGTGCATATAAAATATTTTTTTTATATTTCACACAATATCCTTTGAACACCCAATTTTTCATGAACGCTGCCACGCCAGCAAAGGGATGACAAATCCAGGTGTTCAATAAATTTGTTCGTTTGGCAGCCGATAAAGTTCATTTGCGGCGGCTAACATTCAAACATATCATCATAAATATATGTACAAGCATTTATATTATTATTACAAAAAAAAAAATATATAATAAAAAAAAAAAAAAAAAAAAAAAAAAGAAAAAAAAATTATGGATTGTGTTGGTGGTTGAAAACAAAACTAAAATCAAATATAACGGGATATAGAGAAAAGTGTGTGTTTTAACCCTAGTTGACATGTGCACAAGTGCAACAATTATCACTACAAAAACAATTATGTATTTTTTTTTTTTGTTATTGTTGCCTAATATGTTTGTTGCTCTATTAGTTATTACTGTATATTATTGTATTTATCGTTATATTGTGTGTAATAGACAGGAATATGCAGGTTTGCATGTTCCATTTAGTGGGTGGAGACCCTTAGGAATGCCCTTGCCTTTGTTTTTTGTTACGCAAAGGAAATCATAATTATATGCTCAGTACTTGCAACATATAATTGGAACACAAATACATACATACATTTTTACTTGTGTACGATTATAGGGTTATATATACTTTGCAAGTGGTGGTGTTCCTATTTGAAGTTAAATGGATTTGAAAATCCAACAAAGTGGCGGTCGCTCTCTTTTCCTATTACTACCAATGGATACAGTTCGTGAACTTTTTAAGCTGTAGTGTTTTCATCCAACCGGACAACATAGCCCAGCCAACATAGCCGCTGCATCTTAGTTCGCTGTAGTATACCATAGTTGCCGTACATTTGTTCGAGCTCATCATTTAAACGACGCCGCGTTGCCGTACGCGAAGGTTCTAAAGTATTTTTCTTGGAAACTCTACGCTGCTACACCTCCAAATATGTACCACTTGAAACTTGTAAAGTATGGGCTTTGTTCGTCGAGAGAGAACTTTATTTTTCAATTACATACTCAGCCCAAAAAATACACCTCTAGGCAAGAGTAGCAAGATTTTCAGCTTCGTGAAATTAGGGTTTGTATTGATGAGGCTATGACTCTCGATAATGATTTGGAAGCCTAAACCTGATGCGCTGAGTGTTTCCCTGATGAGAGAAGATACTTCTGCTCCACCAGCTGTACCCTTGCAGAAGATTGTAGCATTACTATTTAGCTCTGCAGTTTTTATTATTTTCACCAGTATTAAATTGATCAGCATCGAAGCGCTCGGAGAGGTCCCTCACGCTTCCAACGAATCTTTTGATTTTGCACAGCGGCAATTTATACAGTTTTGCGGGGATACCAAAATGTCTGATATTGCTATTGAAGTCCCCCTTAAAAGCAGTGAAGTGGTAGGATGTGTCGATTGCATTATGGCAAGACCGGCTTATAAGGTGCCAGCAGATAGCGGATAGCCATCACTCACGTGACAGTGCGCTCAGAGAGCAGGTGTGCAAGTTGATTGGAAAACCGCTCGGCAGTCTGCTGTGGTTGTAGCTTTTCGATGTCGAGCTTTCCTTGTATTAGTTGACGGGAGTTCTTCGATACAGAGAGGCGGGTGCGTATCTACGCTGCAGCAAGATAGTGGTTCGAGTGGATGTTGGGTCCTCGGAGTATACGCACGTCAAGTCTATCACAACATTATCGCACTGATCTTGTGCTTTTCGATCAGAGGATAGTAAGTAAGTACTACAGACAACTATATTTCAGGCCCTGCCGAAGTTGATCAGCCTCAACCCATGAGAGGATGTTTCGTTGTGAATTCGCTGAATTTTGCAAAAGTAGACACAAAGAAAGAAATAAAGATATTTTCTTTGCTCACACTGGCATTGAAAGCGCCAAGCACGATTTTCAAATCGTGGCGGGAGTAGCGCTCGTAAGAATGCTCTAGGCGCTCATAAAAGGTTTTTTGGCCAAAACGTCCTTTTCATCCGTCATATGAATTTCGCTTTGATGTGGATTGTGGTTAGACGCTCATTCACCGGGGTGAATACCAGTACTCGACGACGGAGTGTCTCCCTCACCACAAATCCGGCACCAAATTTGCGCTCCTTTATATGGCCACTGTAGTAAATGTCACAAGAGCCTATTCACTTTCGTCCTTGTCCCGCCCATCGCACTTCTTGGACGGCGATGATGTCAGGCTTTATTCTTACGAGGACATCAACCATCTAGGCAGTAGCACCTTCCCAATTAAGGGACCGCACATTCCAGGTGCATGCTCTCAAACCGTGATCCTTAATTCGTTTGCGAGGGTCGTCAACAGAAAGGGGTTGTTATTTTTCATCGGAACTGGTTTCTACATAGCGAGTGCCAAGCCCAGCGCACAACCTCGCTAGGTAGCTGACCTTAGAAACGTGATATTTTGTACTTAGAAAGGGTTCGAGACGTGGTTCGGCCAACATTCAAAATTATAGAAAACCAAATTTTCTAACTGCGTTAGGTTGAAAGTCACTTCAGCGATTACAAGGCACCAATTTTAAGTATATACGAGAGGATTAGCAAAATTTCGGTGACCAGAAGAAAAAAATTTATATTTATTCGTAATCTCTGTCCTTTTTTATCTTCATCTTCTACATAATCGCCATTGACTTCAATGCATTCTTAGGCCTATAGATTCGCTTCTGAAAACAGTCTTGCTTTTTAAGCTTATCAAGTTCAGCATTAACCGCATTTAATATCTCCGAATCGCTATTAAAGACCTTTCCTTTTAAATTTTTTGTTTAATTTTTAGGAATAACCAGAGATCAAAAGGTGCAACATCCGGGAAATATGGCGCAGGACGTATTTCTTTCTGTGGGATGGCGCGTTGACATGATGTAAAAAGTAGCGCAGCAAATCTTCCCTCTTCCTGTTTTCCAATACATTTTTGAAAAGTTTCGATAAGCACTCTTCGGCGTACTATTTTGAAGTTACCGTCTGATCTTTTTCCAGTGGAATAGCAGTTCCGATTTTAGATCGGGTGAAGTAAACTGACATCATTACTTTTGCCGGTGATTTTTGTTGCTTAGATTTTACGGGTGAGTTTGCTCATTTTGGGCTCCATACCATGGACTGCTGTTTGGTTTCTGAATCGTACTAACAGTAACGACTTTACCATAGTTGCTAGGTTGACCATTTTCCTAATTTGTTTAAGAAAAATTGTGCTTCTTTTTGGGCCTCATTCAAAATTAATCGTGTATCCCAGATGATTACTTAATATTCGCGATACAGCCATGGCATTCAAGCCCCATTCATTAGCAATCATTTATTGTTCTTGCGTCAATAGTGGGTCTGCGCCAATTTTGGACTTCAAAAGAGTTACAGTGACGTCATTAGTGTGAGATTTTGGTCGACCCTCTCGGCGCTCGTCCTCTACCGAAAAATCTCCGGTCTGGAATCTTCGGAAATACTTAGAAATAGTCGTTAAAGACGGTGCAATCGTTCCATTTACAATTTGGCATTCACTGAATATTTTAATTGGCTGTAAATTACGCCGAAACACGAAGAGAATCACATGGCGTATTTCTGTTTGCGTTGATGGTGGAATTTCGTCTGATCTATACTCAGCTATCCCGTCTCCAGTTAAGTCGATCGTTGTAAAATTGGAAAGGAAAACTAGTTCTAATAACTAAAAGTAATTGCAAGGATTTGGTATTCTTAGATTTAACAAAAACAAATTGAAAGTCACCAACTGGTCGCACTTTTTTTAATCCCCTTTTCACATATGTAAATAAGGTGTGGCGATGCTCGTCGGGTTCCCTAGCGCTGATATAAAATTTGAAGGTTTTATCCTCATGAAAGGTATAAAAACTGCTAAGACTTTCTTTTACTTATCCAATCCACTGTACAGGAAAATAAGACAAATTATTACAGTTTCAAAACTTTATTGATTTGTGACTCGTTTTGATTGTGTTGTGTTTAAAAAAAAATTATTTTGTGTTTAAATCTAATATTAATTAAATAAATATTTCCTTAAAATTAATATACCACAGAAGAATTGTTTTTCGTTTTTTGTTTTTTGTTTTTGTTTTCTAATAAATAAGTAGATTTTATATAGCTTAACAATATGACTTTGAGACATTTCAATTTGATAAGTGAAGTTAATTGCTTTGCGAGATCTAAAGCTTAGTCCACAAGTGAGACTTGGTGCGTTCCTTTGTTGTTGTTGTTGAAGATGAGCTTTTAAGTAAACGATTGTTCGGTATTATAAACATATTTATTTACTACTACTAACACACTTTTGACTAGCATCGTTTTCCGTTCATCAGTTCATCAGCTTTTTCGTTTTATACTTTTTTCTGAGATAATAAATTAATTGCAAATCATTTAATTATTTATTTCGCTTAAATGTCATTTTGCTGCACACCATTGACATTGCCATTGTTATTTCGATTTGATAGTGTTGTTGTTCTATCACCACCGCAATATCCTTCCGCTGAGTTGCAGCTACCACCGCCAGTGCTGCTGCCTTCGCCTAAATTGCTATAGCCACTTGTCGACTCGTCGCTGTGATTGCTATTTTGGTTATGATTGTGAAATTGTTGGTTTGTTGTTATGAGTTGTTGCTGTTGTTGTTGTTGCTGTTGCTGCTGCAAAGGCATTTGTCCCAGTGAATGATGTACACCATTGTGGTTGTGTTGTAGTTGGTGTGGACTGTGTGTAAGCGCTCGTGGATCTTCGGGTGTCCAAGTGCGTGCGTAAAGCTTACAGCCGGGATAGCGATCGCCCTTGCGGTACCAGGAGAGTGAGTGCGCAACGCCGCCGCCTGAAAGCAGATGGAGTGCAAGGGTTATTTAAATTTTTTAATTTTTTCAAATTAAATTATTGTTTAAAAGCAGAAAACGCTATTTTTATAAGAAATCAAATTAAAATTCGTGAGGAACCGAACATTAGATACTCGGCTGATATTGAAATTTCGTACTTCAAGGGAGATCTTACTTCGAACTAAAGTTTTTGTGTACCCAGATGTACGGACAGATATGGCTAAACCGATTTTGCCGTCATACCATGAAGTTTGATGTAAAGGTGCGTCATGAAAAATTGACGTTTTCGATTTCAGCTCATTTATCCGTACAGTAAGACAGCGAGTCTTTTCATTGTACAGATATTAATCTTAGGAACAGCCAAGAGTAATATTATATCTAAAAGGCGGGGTTTCAACAGTATATTGGAGAATAGGGATGAGTACCATGCAAATAGGTTTCTAACTGCCGTTTTAAAGCATCCAGTCGTTTTGATACATTTTATTGAAATTGGAGTTCTAAATTCTGACAGCATTAACAAAAAACAATCTAGAGGTCGTCAAATGTGCCTAAATACAAAACTTTGACGACCTCTAGATTGTTTTTTGTTAATGCTGTCAGAATTTAGAACTCCAATTTCAATAAAATGTATCAAAACGACTGGATGCTTCAAAACGGCAGTTGGAAACCTATTTGCATGGTACCCATCCCTATTCTCCATACCCATGTCAATATTGTGAGTACGAGAAGATTGCACGAGAAGATTGCACGAACTTTATATTGCGGAAGAGATATCCCGGCTGACGGTTTGTGATGATTTTAAATGAATATATTAAATTTCGAACCTGGAGATAATTCTCTAGAGTGAAGCCGTTAATATTTTTGGTATACAAAGAGATCTGTTCAATTTTTTTTTGGAATTACAGCTTAGAGTAACATATACGACTTCAAAATAAGAAATGTGAGGAATAATAAGGGACTGAACTAGTTTAAGTTTTGTTCTTATCGGTAAACAATCACATGTGTGCCATAAATTTCTTAATGTCGAATGTATTTGTTGTTGTTGTTGTAGCGGTTAGCTAACTCCGCTTAGGCGCAGTCAGTTTAAGTCGCCGAGGTCAACTAGTGGGAGGTGCAGAAAACGAGCTGTTTCGACGGGGTTGGACCACAGGGAGAGGGGGGTTAGATGAGTTGGTCTGAAAGGGCATGTGAAGAGGTGGTTAGTGTCGTGCGGAGACTGAGACCTCATGTTGGGCATATGTTAAGTATGCTGGGGTCTAGTCTGAATAAGTAGGAGTTTAACCTGTAACAATACCCGACCTAAGTTGTGTCAGGCTCACGCGGGTCTCTCGAGGCAGCTCGAGCTCGTTGTCTAGAAGGGAGTCCTTGAAGGTGTTGACTGACTCCTTGTAAATGGCGTTCAGTGCTTGTCTGTACGCCGTCCTGTCCAGTGGTTGTTGTACATATTGTTTCATTGTGTCCTTTAAGTCTAGTACTCCCTTTCTGATGTGTCCAGGTGGAGGTTCGGCTTTTATTAGGTGCCTACTGCGGTAGCATCCCAATAGGAGCTGCTTGCACAGCAAAGCCTCATGCTCCTTAACTCGCAGCATAGATGCTTCGCTGTGCAAGTGATGCTTCGGCGACATCAGGAGGTTTCCTGTCGCGGTCCTGAGGGCGGTGCTCTCAAAAGCCTATACATCGAATATATTTGTATTATGCAATGATTTATGTGATCCTCAAAATTTAGGCGAGCACAAAGTTTGAAGCCAAGATCTCCTGCAACATATTAAAATTTTAGCTCAACCCCGTTCAAAACAATTGGTGAAAGATTGCTGAGATCAAGATAATTACTTTTAATAGAAGTACCTTCGTTTTATTAGCATTTAGACAGAGACCATTATTGTTAGACCATTCCTCAAAACTTCTTAGATCCTCATTCGATCTAGCTATTAAATCTTCACCAAGGTCAATGGGTAGTAAGAGGTAAATTTGAGTATCATCGGCATATAGATGTATAGAAGAATTTTTGCATTAGTGAACAATGTCATCAATAAGTAAATTGAAAAGTATTGGCCCTAAAAAAGAGCCCTAGGGGACTCCGGAGATGATTTCTCTGCGATTTGAAATTACATCCCCACACTGAACAAGATACTGATGGGCCTAAAGTCTTCAGAAGCATTACACGAGTTACCGTTAATCACCGGAACGACGTTGGCAATTTTTCACTAATTTGAAAACGTAGAGGAGGGAAGCACATACGGCGGTATAAGCTTTAAAAAACGCAAACTCAGACCATCCACTCCTATTGCATTAGGTTTTATATTAAAAATACACCATCCTCTTCAGTAGCTAGGTTAAATGAGTATTCATGGGTGTGGCCAGTATATAAGCTTTCATTGCACCAGCATCAAACCTACTAACTTTTGTCTCTTTGGTACAAATACCAAGTGATTTTATGGCCAAGAACTTATCTTCATTATAAAGTCAAGGGGTTGCGGCAGCTGGTTCGAATAAATTTCAGCCAAGAGGTACTCATTTTGACCACTTTTAGATGCAATCGTCAATTGTCTAAGGCTTATCTGCGTAGCCAAACGACTTTATATAACAAGCAAAAAATAGTTCAGTGATCTTAAATCCCACAATTTTGGAGGCCACGCCACAGCCCCAAGACGAGAAATAATGCGCTCACCAAGACTTTGGGTTGTGGCGCCGCCTTGTTGGAACTAAAGGTCATCCACAGCAAAATTCTCCGATTCAGGCAAGAAAAAATTATTAATCATGGCTCTACAGCATTCCCCATTGACTGTTACATTATGGCCGGCTCCATTTTTGAAGAAATATGCACCCATGACTCTCTCTGCCCAGAGAAAAAAGTGATCTTCACAACTAAACAAAATGTTCTTATGAAAATCGGGATGAGTAGTCATCTCGTTTTGGTCCCATTCACCGAACGTAAGCGCGCTTGATGATCATTTGGCTTCAATTCTTGCACGAGTTAGATTTTATAATTCCGCTACCCCATAATCCTGAAACAAATCGCTTCTGTGAGGCGACGCTCCCTGTTTCAGCTAATTATGCAATTTTCGAACCCAGTGCGCAAAAGATCGATAGTAGACTTGACTGTGTGGTACGCAGAGACCTCCTGTTCACGCAACACATCGCATGTATCCATCTTCAAAAATTATTAGTTATTAGAATTATTGAGGCTTCTTTTCTTGGATCAATTAAACTTTATAGGCGAGTTAATGGAAGAGTTATTCTGCGTTATATTTCCAGGTGAACATTATTATTAGTATTGATGATAATTCCTGGATAAACAATATAATTTACGACTTAAAAATTTGTACTCTCAACACGTACATGGAAATCACGAGTAGAGGGCTGATGGTCGTTTGATGACAGGAGATATTTCGCATTGGAAACAAGCCTACAGACAACCATATTTCGGCTCCCGGCGATCAGCCTCAACCCATTAAGGGATGTTTGGTTGTGAAGGTTGAATTTTCCAACAGTCGTACCAAATATACCTTCTTTGCCCACCCTGGCATTAAAATTGCCAACCACGATTTTTACATCGTGTCGGGAGCAGCGCTCTAGGCGCTTATATTCTCTTCCGTCGGAGCGAGGGCTCAAATTAAAGATATGTTATATGGCCGCTGTAGTAAATGTTGCAAGAATCTATTCGCTTTCGTCCTTGTCCCGTCTTGAACGGCACTGATGTCAGCCTTTATTCTTACGAGGACATCACCCATCTGTGCGCAGCACGTTCCCAATTAAGGGACCGACATTCTATGTGTATGCCCTCAAAATGTTATCCTTTATTCGTTTACGGGGTCGTCACTTTTATATAGCTTGCTTCAAGACCGACACCCGCTCGCAGCCGCACATCTGGTGAACAGACGCTGCAGTTAGACTTCAGCAGACTCTTAAACTGAATAATTCGGAGTAGCTCCACTTAAGCTTCCTCTCTCATTAGCCGTAATCCAAGGCCCCACACGGGTTGATTACTGCATCTTGCACAAGGGTTGCTTACGTTTCCAGTGTTACTGTAACAGCATACCCAGAAGCTTGACTACACTCTATTACACCGCTCTACTCCGTTGAAAAGACCAGGTGGAGAAGAGCTCGACTGTATTTTACAAATGGCGTCAAGGAGTCGTGCTGTTGTTAACTCGGTTATAATCGGGTACGCGATATATACGCCAGCAAAGAAGAAACTGCCTAATTGGTGGTTCTTCATACGGAAGCCCTCAAGCAGTAAAAGTTTCACCTGCTGTAGTACCGGCGGATAGCAACGCAGCAAGAGATAGACATATTCGAACCAATCCAGATTGGCGCCAACTCTTAGAGAAGTCAAATGACTTGCGCGTGTATACGGCATAACCGTGATGAGATAACGATGTCTATCACCTTGCACTATTCGTACTTTCGATTTTAAACCGCGAACTGAATATCCTACCCCACATCAGGCAGAGTTTGAGGGAAGGCTTAGTCAATGCTTAATTTCTCTATTGAAAGTGTCAACATTTTTAACGCCCAAATAATTAAAATGCCAACAAATACAAATACAATGTATACAACAAAAACAACAATAACGCAATCCACAACAGAATCCTTTCGTTACGTTTTTCCCTCACGTTGTTTACATGAACTCCAGCTGGCAAAGTTAGTGTTGTGTTGTTGTGGATGTTGTAGAGGTAATCAAGAATCCATTAGCAGCAACATTACAACCCCATTACTAACACACACGCACACACACACAAACACAAGCGAAGGTACGAAGGAAGAGTCTGACGGTGTTCAAATAATCTCTTCAATTTTCGTGTTTGTCCTTTGTTGCTGTTTGTTATTGCAGCTGCATGCTGCGCTGTAATTATGTTTCCGCAAGTGATTGCTATTTTGCTCTCATTTCTGTTTTTATTTGACAAATATAACTACATGCGTGTGTGTGTGTGTCGGATACAGATTGCCTTTTGGCACTTTATTTTTCCGTCTTTGTGTTCGGTGAGTCCTCTTTTTGCTT